TTTTACTTCTGTTCGGGAACGGTAGCGATGGTGGCACCTTTCGAACTGAGCAAGAACAACAAGGATTTTATCTTAAACTCTCTCTCTGTCACCACCCACATGCATATACACATGCATGATCAGCATCAAACACACAATCTCAACAGATACCAGCTTTCAGAACGAGAGCTAATGGAAGCAAGTTTGTGTTCACTGCAACTCTAGGCTTCTCTGGCTCGCCGGCATTCTACGGCCAAGGCTTCCCCGCCACCACTACTCATGGAGCTGCCCAATGCATGCGAAGGCTCACAGAGACTCATCGCCTTAGTCCAGCCTAGCAACCACCTCGCCGCGAGCTTGGACAAGGACGATAGAGACATGGCGACGAGGGAGGCGAAAAAGGATATTGGTTTGGATCCTAAGCTTGTCAATGTTGTGACAGTTCTTGAACCATTCTTATCGAAGGTGCGGAACAAGTACAACTTGGGGCAGCCTCAGCTGTATAAGGAGGTGAACAGAGAAGATCCCAAAGCTATGCTTGATGGCGCCACCGTCGCTGGCCTCGTCGAGATCTTGCGCCAATTGGGGGAAACCCTCTGAAACTGCCGCATATCACCACTTTTAGTCCAACCCATGGAAAACCATAGAAGAAGATAAGTCTTCCTCTAAGTCATAATCATTTTATTATTATTTTATTGTATTTTATTATATTATTGTTGTCTCTTTCCGCCATATATGAAAATAGAAAGACCAATATATATATTATAATAACATGAAGAGATCATAATATATTTTATGATGCTTATTAGAAGGTCATTTGTCGGCCACCTCAGGGTAGTATATTATAACTTTAATCATTCATTTTTTCCACAAACATAATCATGATGCATCATGATGCTCCTGCTTTTTGCTTTGCCTTTTTTACCAAACCCAAAGCCACTCACGTGGCATTCCAATGGGAAACCAAAAAAAAAGGCCAAAGAGGAAAAAATCCCAAGCAAACATGTCTTCCATAATTTAGCCGAAAGTGCACCACATTATTTTGCCACTATATACAAATCATTTACCGCACAATAAATTTTTTATGTGTAGTGGGCACAAACTTTGTCAACTTGATTTATTCATTATACGGTCATACTTTTGTCATTTATTGTCAGGAATTATTGAGCAACTAGATCCACTGATCAACATTGTTGTTAATTAAAGAAGTCTACCAACTTATAGACTGATGAGCCACATGCTCATGGTGATCTCTTGTCCGACTGGACACTCACTTGCTCGGACATTCGCTTATTGGGATACCTATGTGCTTGGACCCAACTCGATGACCCTACAGATAGCCCCAACTCGATGACCCTACGTATGGCCCTGACTCAAAGACCCGACTTCGAAATTATTCAGCAGCGTGCCATTATTATCACCAACCAAGTGATCAAAAGTACAACCGGTCCTCTAAAAAATCATACATGAGCATCACTCATGACAATCAGCATCATACATGAGCATCACTCATATCAATCATACATAAACATTCATAAGCATCACTCATGTCAATCATGCATAAACATTCATGAGCATCACTCATGTCAATCAACATAAACATTCATGAGCATCACTCATGTCAATCAGCTTCGAAAGCTTCATTTACAGAGCTCCAGCTTCGAAAGCTCCAGCTTTGAAAGCTTCATTTAAAAAGCTCTAGCTTCGAAAGCTTCATTTACAAAAGCTCTAACTTCAAAAGCTTCATTTACAAAGCTTCAACTTCAAAGCTTCATTTACAAAAGCTCCAGCTTCAAAGCTTCACTTTCAAAGCCTCACCTATAAAACTTCACTTTCAAAGCTTCACCTACAAAGCTTCGGTGCATGGTATACAAAGACCGCCTCCAAACAACCGCCACTTCGGCCTATACATGGATTGAATTTGAAGTCTCCAGCCAACAGACTCTATTGACCGAAAATTTGGGGGACTACACTATGTACCATATATTGGGCTTCCGCAACTGGGTCTCATGAAAAATACTTGAGGGACTTAGCCCATTATTTATGTATTGAGGAGCGAACCCTTATTCTATAAAAGGGACTCCCTCACTTTCATTAGAGAGCACCCATTATTCATGTATTAAGGAGCGAACCCTTATTTTATAAAAGGGACTCCCTCACCTTCATTAGAAAGACTTTTAGCCCATCACTTATGTATTGAGGAGCGAGCCCTTATTCTATAAAAGGGACTCCATCACCATCATTAAAGAGCATCGTCGCCTGCTGAGCAACCGCCTCGCCGTGAGCATCAACTCTAGCCTATTATTTATGTACTGAGGAGCGAACCCTTATTCTATAAAAGGGACTTCCTCACTTTCATTAGAGAGCACCCATTATTCATGTATTGAGGAGCAAACCTTTATTTTATAAAAGGGATTCCCTCACCTTCATTAGAGAGAGACTCTTAGCCCATCACTTATGTATTGAGGAACGAACCCTTATTCTATAAAAGGGACTCCCTCACCTTCATTAGAAAGCATCGCCGCCAGCTGAGCAACCGCCATCACTCTTAACCAATCACTTATGTATTGAGGAGTGAGCCTTTATTCTATAAAAGGGACTCCCTCACCATCATTAGAGAGCATCGCCGCCTGTTGAGCAACCACCTCGCCGCCTGCTGAGCAACCGCCTCGCCGTAAGCATCAACTTTAGCCCATTATTTATGTATTGAGGAGCGATCCCTTATTCTATAAAATGGACTCCCTTACCTTTAACGCCACAAGCCGAGCCAACCAAGGCAACATGAGCCACAAGCCGAACAACCTCGCAACATGTGCTACTTTTAGTTGAGCATCATTTCACATTGAGCACCGCCTCATATCGAGTATCAGTTCTAGACAACATCTAGTTACTTCGGCCCACACATGGACTGAATTTCAAGTGTCCAGCCAAAAGACTCTCTTGACTGAAAACTTGGGGACTACTGTTTGTACCATACTTAGGGCCTCCGTATTTAGACCTCGTATAAATACTCATGGGACTCAAATGTAATTATGTAATAAATGAAGGGGCAAATATGTAATAAGTGAGGAGCCTTTATTCTATAAAAGGACTCATCACTCTCCTCATTGGAGGGGGTGAAAGTTTTAGGCCATGGGAAGAGAGCACACATAAAATAGGCTAGAGAGCACATTGCCTCTAGCCTTCTTGTATATTCACCATTCAAAGTGAAACAATATCAACATCAGTGTGGACGTAGCCCAAACATTGGGGTGAACCACGATACATCTTGTGTTTTTTACTTTCTTAGAGATTCACAGTCGGATTTAGGTTGTTCCAAGACCCCTCTGGTTTTGTGCATCAACACAAGTCTCAAACAACTCAGAGACAACACTCTTTTCCTCAGGGGGACTCCCTTTGAGCTTGTAATCCATACATACAGTTACAGAGAAATACAATCAACATCAGTATGTTCTTGGGCGTTTGCATGATTCACGGTCGGATTTATGTTGTTCCAAGACCTTCCAGTTTTGTGCATCAACAATACTTAATGAAAGTATGAATAAACTCTTAAGTGTTAGTGAATCTATCGTTTTGATGAGATACGCATTCTACGAAACTAATTTCAACGATCCAACCATCAAACTTGTTTATATATGCTTCAAGATCGCATACGCCAAAAATTGCAAAAAAAGAAACATTCAGAGATCAAGTAATGAGACAAAACTTTTCAACGGTTATCAACGAAAAATCATGATTAAATGGTTATTTTAACTCCAATTTTAATGATTTTTTTACAGCTACACTCCTTGACCTTATACGAATACAATGAATGAACTCGATCTTCAATTTAAAATATTTACACTAGTGGATACCACAAAATATTATGTTATACTTAATGAAAGTATGAATAAACTTTTAAGTGTTAGTGAATCTATTGTTTTGATGAGATACGCATTCTACGAAACTAGTTTCAAAGATCCAACCGTCAAACATGTTTGTATAATACTTTGAGATTGCGTAGGCCAAAAACTGCAAAAAAACAAACATTTAAAGATCAAGTAATGAGACAAAACTTTTCGACAGTTATCAACGAAAAATCACGATTTAGCGGTTATTTTAACTCCGATTTTGATTATTTTTTACAGTTACACTCTTTGACCCTATATGAAATGAATGAACTCGATCTTCAATTTAAAATATTTACACTAGTGGATACCAAAAAATCTTATGTTATACTTAATGAAAGTATGAATAAACTCTTAAGTGTTAGTGAATATATCGTTTTGATGGAATACGCATTCTACAAAACTAATTTCAACGATCCAACCGTCAAACTTGTTTGTATATACTTTAAGATCATATATGCTATAAATCGTAAAAAATAAACATTTAGAGATCAAGTAATCGGACAAAACTTTTCGACGGTTATCAATGAAAAATCACTATTTAACGGTTATTTTAACTCTGATTTTGATGATTTTTTTACAGGTACACTACTTGACTTTATAGGAATACAATGAATGAACTCGATCTTCAATTTAAAATATTACATTAGTGGATACCACAAAATCTTATGTTATACTTAATGAAAATATGAATAAACTCTTAAGGCCTCGTTTGGCAGCTCGGACTGTACTGACTATTTCCGTCGGATAGGATAAATAGCCACCGGATAGTACTGACTAAATTAATCGGGCGTTTGGTGCAGTATCGGACTAATGACTGTATTATTTATACTGTGTTTGGTACTGAACCGGATAGGATAAGGGAAAAAATAAATTTGACAAATCTTTGTTTGTTTATCGAACTTTTCTCATATTTATACTTATTGAAAACCACACAAATTTTCAAATAACAAAGAAAAATAGTAAATTCCATACATCAAATTCAAAATATTTTCCAATTGTGATGGAAGGTTCACAAAAAACAACTACAGTCTTTACGTTATATAGATTAACCCAACCACATATCCAAGTTCATATAATATACAAATGTAAGTTAGTTTCAGTAAGAAACAGTTTGTCCAGATAGCCAAAATATATGCATGCTGCTGCTTTGCTTTCAATAAGAAGCAATTTGTCCACCAAACAATTGTTTCCTGCAATCATAAAGGCCAGATGCATTAATGTCGCAAACACTAAGCCCAAACAACCAATAAGAGAAATTGAACCAACAAAACCAAGACAACCCCACTAAAAATCTGATAAATGCAATGAATAAAATAACTAAAAAAGCTTAAAAGAAACAAGATTTGAAAGCCTAACCAGAAGGAAGAAGGCCTTCTATTTTAAGACAGAAATATTGCTCACCAAACAATTGCATTGTATCTGTACAAAACTAATAGCCAACAAATCTGTACAAAACTAATAGCCAACACTCCCAACTTCAAACAGTCTGAAAATTGCTTCTCAAGCGTTCCAAAGTAGCTCATTGGGGCAATTGCCTAAAACTGATCCCTTTCAAAGTTGAAGGAATTTATAAGCTCCACGAAGATAAGCATTGAAGGGCAACTGACAACTAAGGCTCCCAGAAGCACTTCCAATGCTTCTCCAAACCCTTGTACCAATGGTGTATATCTCAGCTTCATATATAGCTGCATTTATCATTCCTGATGGATTCACTCAATGGAACAAACTTTTGCAACACCTTATACTCATTAATCCCAACACTAAATCCAAGTCCAACGGATGTAAAATTAGGCCTAGCCCTATCGCTCCGTGGCACGGTGATGAACTCATCCAAAATTGGATTGCAGACATACAAAAGGTCCCCTCTTGGGGTCCGGACAAGCAAACTAAACCATTGCAAAAGTTTATCAAATTAAATTCAGAAATGGGCATGCTAAATTTGGGAGTAAACCTTAGTTTTTGTGTAGCGAAAGCGAGAACCGAAGGATTCCTCAATCTGGGTAAAATCGAGCCTCCTTGTTATGCTTTTGGGACGGAAAGTCTTGATCAGTATGCCAATGGGGGATCGTGAAGTGCAAAGAAGGGAAAATTGAGGATCCAAAATTAGAGTAAACCAGGATTGTATCTGTACAAAACTAATAGCCAACAAATCTAGAAACCCTAATTTGCCCCCAATAAACCCTAATTCGAACCCCAACAAACCCTCATTCGACCCCAACAACAAACCCTAAATTCAAAAATTCTAATTAAAACACAAAATTACATAATCAATTGCATAATTACAGAGAAAACAATAACTAAATTCAAACAATTGAAACAAAATTGCAAGAAAAATAGAAGGAGGGGGAATAACAGAGGGAGGGGCGGAACCTGGGAAGAAGAAGAAGAATGAGAAGACAAACCTGGGAGGGTGCGTCTGGAGATGACTGGTGCGGCTGGAGAGGAAGGAGAGAGCGAGAGATTTTCTTGTACCGTCTGGAGAGGAAGAGAGAGAGAGAGTGCGTTTTCAGGGGGGATAAGAGAGAGCGGGTGCATGAAACCGACTAAATTGTACCGTGTTTTTAGGGAGGATAAGGAAACGGGTGCTTACCGTATAAAGTAAGTGGGCCTGGATTATTTAATCCGGTGGCTATCTAATACGAATGGACACTAAACACCGTACTCCGTATTATTAATCCTATCCGGTGTACCAAACATGGCCTAAGTGTTAGTGAATCTATTGTTTTAATGGGATACGCATTCAACGAAACTAGTTTCAACGATCCAACTGTCAAACATGTTTGTATATACTTCGAGATTGCATATACGCCAAAAATTGCAAAAAACAAACATTCATAGATTAAGTAACGAGACAAAAAATTTCAACGGTTATCAACGAAAAATCACGATTTAACGGTTATTTTAACTCCGATTTTGATGATTTTTTACAGTTACACTCCTTGACCCTATATGAATACAATGAATAAATTTGATCTTCAATTTAAAATATTTACACTAGTGAATACCACAAAATCTTATGTTATACTTAATGAAAGTATAAATAAACTCTAAGTGTTAGTGAATCTATCGTTTGGATGAGATACGCATTCTACGAAACTAATTTCAATGATCCAACCGTCAAACTTGCTTGTATATGCTTCAAGATTGCATACGCCAAAAATCGCAAAAAAAAAAAAGAAAAAGATTTAGAGATCAAGTAACGGGATAAAACTTCTCAATGATTATCAACGAAAAATCACAATTTAACGTTTATTTTAATTTCAATTTTGATAATTTTTTACAGCTACACTCCTTGACCCTATATGAATACAATGAATGAATTCAATCTTCAATTTAAAATATTTACACTGGTGGATACCACATAATCTTATATCATGATGATCGATGAAAATTGAGGATTTTGTAAAAGGAAGAACATGCAAGCTTTGAGTTCCATTGGCAAGGTTTAAACTTTTGAGAAAGGTTTCATAACCTTGAAAACAAAAACTCTTTCATTTTGCATATCCTTGCACATTTACTATTTTGTAATAGACTAGTAGTGTGTGGATGTTTGTTTATTTGGCTCTTATTTTTTAATATAGATGTAGTACTTAAACGACAAATGTGTTTTAATGTTTTGAAGTAATATTTATGTGGCAATGTGTGGTATGTGCAAATTTAAGAAAAAAAATATATTTTTCTTAATGGGTCATAACGGGTTGAGTCACTTTACTCGTTTGGTAAATTGACCCGACTTGTTAAGGACTCGTTACGATAACGGGTGTGACACGATACGATCCGTTAAGATGACAAGTGTTACATGAAAATGACATAAACACGATAAATAAGACCCGTTTGCCAGGCCTAGCGTGAAACACATCAGGCGGCTTTCACAAAAATCAATGTCTCCCTTACAACCCCACCAGTCTTTGTACTGCCTCGGCATGGTAAACCTCTTAAGCTGTACATTTTAGCAGACGAAGAGTCCATCGGTTGCCTCCTTGCACAAGACAACGATATCAGGAGTGAACATGCCATCTTTTATCTTAGTGAAATCATTACTCACCTGAAATCAATTATTCAGCAGTCGAAAAACTCTTCCTGGCTTTGTTTTTTGCTGCGTCTAAATTACGGCATTACATGCTCCATTTCATCACTCATGTCATTGTCCAGACCGCTGTTGTTCAGTATATGCTCACTTGGCCAATGGTCAAAGGCCGAATTGGGAAATGGACAATGGCACTGTCTGAATTCAGCTTGCAATACGTGTCATAAAAGCCGTCAAAGGACAAGCATTAACTGATTTCTTATTTCAATTCTCCATATGGTTTCGGGGGCAGTGATGTCGAAATCGGCATGATGGAAACACGTGATAATTATTGGACGATGTATTTTGATGGATCTAGTACTTCAGCATCGACTAGTGTTGGAATCGTCATTCAATCCCCAAATCAACACTGTTGGTATTTTTCTCTCAAGCTCGATTTCGATTGTATGAATAATTAGGCCGAATACGAAGCCCTTATCATCGACCTCTACGTCCTTCATAACTTGAGGGCAGCCCGTGTACTCATCCTTAATGATTTGGAACTTGTGATTAACCAACTCAATAGATTTTTTCGTTGCATAAGTTACACTCTGGCACCCTATCACATGGTTACCAGCTATTTAGCCAAGTCGTTTGACAGTATCACGTTCGAACACATCTCCCGCATTCGAAACACTAACGCAAATGAACTGGCCCAACTAGCCTTCAGAGCACAACTCATAGGGGGCAAACTAGGCCAGGTAATACTAATAGTACAATGACGACACCCGGCCCTGGTTAATCATCAAGTTCTCGAACGTGATCACATGATCCGTACATAAGTCATGTCCCTACCTTCATTGTTGGAACGAGTGGAACCTGTAGGTATTTGCACTGTCGAGACATTACTAGATGATTGGAGAAGGACAATTTTGCAATACCTTGATAACCCCATGGGCAAACACGACCGCAAGACAAGGGTACATGCCACAAATTATGTAATATATCAAAGTGGGTTGTACTGAAAGAGTGAGGACGACCTGTTATTATTATGTCTCAGCCAAGAAGAAGCAACCCAAGCGATTTCAGAGGTACATAAAGGAATATGCGGAACGTTGATTTAGACAAAAAAATGGGCTGGTTACTTTGTTGACACAAATATTTCTGGCCGAGTATGTTGAAAGATTGCATCGTGTACAAGCAAAGTTGTGTACAATGTCAAATACATGGGCCTATGTAAAAAGTCTCAGCCGAATTACTTCACTCGATCACCAAATCATGGTCGTTCAGAGGATGGGCTATGGATGTAATCGGTAAGATCACGCCATCTTCTGGATCAGCGAAACATGCATGGATACTCGTAGCAACCGATGATTTCACTAAATGGGTTGAGGCAAAGTCATACTCCGAGTTAACCTCGAAAGAGGTTTGTAAGTACAAAGGAAAATATTATGACAATATTTGGCATACCATAAACAATTATAACAGACAATGGCACGATTTTCACAGCCGACCTATTTAAAGAATACACGGCAAGTTTAAAAATTCGGCTAGAATAGTCCATGCCTTACTACCCACAGGCAAACGGACAGGCCAAAGCAAGTAATAAGGTCTTAATTGGTATCCTCGAAAAAATGATTCAAGAGAATCTTGGGATGTGACATTTAAAGTTAAACGAGGCATTATGAGCGTATCGAACTTCACTCCGATCAGCAACAGGGACGTCCCTATATGCTTTGACTTATGGGCATGACACGATGCTACCAGTCGAGCTAATTATAAACTTGTTATGAGTAATCGAACAAAGCAGTTTGTTAAGTGCCGAGCATAATCAACCCATGAGGCAGGAGTTAGAAGACTTGGAGTAAGTTCGAATTGATGCCAATAATTTGTTGGTGGCATAGAAAAAGATTACCGAGCGAGCTTATAATTGACGAGTTAGACAAAATACGTTCGGTGAAGGTGAGCTAGTTTGGCAAACTGTGTTGCCGGTAAGAATTAAAGATCATAAATTCAGGAAATGGTCGTCAAATTGGGAATGACTGTTTGTCGTTCATAAAGTTCTCGACAATGGGGCATATCACCTTAAAGATCGAATCGGTCTAATTGATAAACTACCAATCAATGGGAAAATTTTAAAGAATATTATCCAGTCACTTGGGAGATGCGAGAATGAAAGTGTCGTTTCATTAATTTTGCAAAAAGGCGTACAAATGAGAATTACAAAAAGAATCCAACAGCCGGTTACTAAGACCAAAATCCTAAATGGTCGAATGAATGAAGGCTTTGAGGGCGGCTTTCAATTCTAATCACCTTACTTCATCCGTTATGATTTCGGATTGTCTTGTTCGTTTATCAAGTTGCAGTTGTTGTATCCACTTTGAGTCGGCTGCGTGGTCTATCAGCTCTAAAGCAACGGTCGACCTTTGATGCTGGAGTTCGATAATTTGACAATCGAGGTCAGCTGATCGCGTCTTATTTTCTTTTATGGCCTTAACTTTCGGTCAGCTAGCTTCATGAGCGACCTTTGCAGCCTTAAGTCGTCCTCGGCTTGGAGAACCATTTCAAAAGTGGCAAAGTATTACCGAGTCCGCTCGAGGATATTGGATAAGTGGATAACACTTTCGATGCTCAATAAGCCGCCGGCTGCAAGATCGTTCAGGCATTTTCCTACAAAATCGAGGCTTTTACATTGAAAGACTTGAGAGGTTGAAAGGGATAGGAGTTCCTGCAACTTAACGAAGGCATCAGATTCAACCGCAGTCGCGAAAGGCTCGATTGACGCCGCAGAAGGCCCTGCTACTCTAGAAGAACTCAAGAGGATAACGTCTAGCACGACTTCCCATGAAGGCTGCACAAAGAAAAATTTAGTAAAGAAGAATCCTAAAGAATATCAGATAATGAAGTCGTGATAGACATACAGAGATGAGACTTCGAACATGTCTGCTGGTTCGTTGCTTGAACCTAAAAAACTTAGTGGCTGAGCCAGTGTTTAAAAGAGCCTCTTAATTCACGCAGCCAATAGAGGCTATCTACATTCGATGGCCACTGAGATGGCCAAAAAATATAAATAACACCATTCAACGTGTAAAATTATCGGTGAAATGAACGATCAGGCACCTGGCATTTTAATGTTTATTCTTGGTTCAGAATTCAAAAGTTAGGAATTGAAAATGGGACATAGGGACGATTCTTACAAAGGTTGAAATGACATTCTGGGGAGAGATGTTGAGATTCTGGTCTTGGGGATGAATCGACTTCTCAGCTTTCACCTTTGGCTCGATAGGGAATGCCACTTCACGCCTTGAACCTGCTTCAGCTGCAGGAACGTCGGCTTAATTCGTTGCTTCGACCACTGACTGAGGATTGGTGGATGGCAGTTTGGGTGGTTGAGGCTCCTCATCAACCGAAGTCCTTCGCTCTCGTGCTCCTATGAAAAATGATTAATCATTAGACAATAAGCTTTAGGTAGAAGAACATTATAAAATTGTATACCTTTTCTTCCAAGATGACTGTTAGAGCTTTCTTTGGA